GTTTGGTCACATTAAATGAAGGCCTTCCATGTCCTGTTTACGAAAGTTGAGGTATTATATTTTACTTATGCTAAGAAAGGTAGAGGTAGACCTAAAAAGACTTGGGTAGAAAATATTAGAAATGATCTTTCTTTATTAGAATTAAATGAGAATTTGACTTTTAACTGGACACATTGACGAAAAATGATTCATGTAGCCGACCCCACATAGTGGGACAATGGCTTGATGTTGTTATTGTTGTATGTTATGCTTGAATTGAATTTTATCATTGCTTAGATAAAAACTATTAGTCAAGTGTTTTGTTATTTTATTAAAACCATCAAATTGATCCATTGTAATATCCAAATCGTAGCTTTTGTAACTTTTTATATTTAAATTAACATACACTTGTGATTTGCTTTTTTTTTTTGCAGCATCCCCATCACATGTAGCAGAATAAACTACATAATTTATTGTCAAACATTCCCATCCTTTGATAATTTCGTTGACTTCCAAATCCAAATAACAAAACAACAATATCCCAATAAAAGGGCTAACAAACTACACAAACGCGTCAAAGGAAGCGGGAAGAACACAACATTATTATTCAAAAACAAAACAATCATCGCTAAATCTGCTTGCTAGTGCAGGGAGGCAACGGCGAACCGCAGAGACATTTGTTGTGAAAATAGGAATCCACCCCAAACATAGCCGTGATCGGCCCAGTCGGAATCTCACCGCATAGCCGGTTATAACTTACATTGAACAGAGGAAAGTAAGTCGGGTCCACCTGGTTTATCTGAGCTGGTATGAACCCTGTAATCTTATTATGATTCAGATCTAAAACCGTCAAGTTCACCGGAAACGTAACCCGGCTAAGATCAAACGCGAACTCATTCCTGCTCAAATCAATATACCGCGTCGACTTGCCCGCACCAAATAAAAAAGAAGCGTCGCCAGTCAAATTGTTCCGGCTCAGATCTATTTTACCCCATACCGGTACGCCGAGGGAGATCGGTAAATCGCCGGAGAGGCTGTTGTGGTTCAGAACAAGATCCGGTGGGGAGGATTTGGGGAAATTGCCGAATTCAGCTGGAATCGATCCGGTGAGGCGGTTGCGGGAGAAATCAAATAGTTGGATAGAAGGAAGCTTGACAAGTTCAGGGGGGATTGAGCCGGAGAATTTATTGAAAGAGAGGTCGACGTCTGTGAGAGAGGGGATTTGGGAGAGGAACGAGGGGATGGGGCCCGAGAGAGAGTTCCAGGAGAGGAGAAGATAAGAGAGGCGGGTGAGA